CAGGATAACACTGTGCTCCCTTCCCCGGGGTATTGATTTACCCCCTTCCCCGGGATAACGCTGTGCATCCTTCCCAAGGGTAACGCTGTGCCCTCTTCCCCGGGGTAGCGATTTACTCCCCTACCTACCTGGGGTAACGATTTAACCTCTTCCCCGGGATAACGCTGAGCCCCCCCCCCTCCCCGGGATAAGGCTGTGCACCCATCCCAAGGTTAACGCTGTGCCCTCTTCCCCGGGGTAGCGATTTACTCCCCTACCTACCTGGGGTAACGATTTACCCTCTTCCCCGGGATAACGCTGAGCCCCCTTACTTGGTTACAGGGCCTGGGAAGTGTTATGATAACTTGTAATTCAATCATCGCCCGTGTCTGATATCTCCAACTAATGGGAACCTGGTGAAATATACTCTGGTAGGTAGCAATCACAGCCTAGAATCTCATACATTAACATAAGACATTTAAGTTGACTGCCTGTCGAGGTACCGTTTCCAAAAAAATCAAAAAGGCACAAGCACGCCTTCCTTTTGTCTTCTTGAATTCCACTGTACACACAAATCAAAGTGTCCGGACTAGCGTATTTATACTGTACACACAAAACAAAGTGTCCGGACTAACGTATACTGTACACACAAAACAAAGTGTCCGGACTAACGTATACTGTATACTCAAAACAAAGTGTCCGAACTAACGTATACTGTACTCACAAACCAAAGTGTCCGGACTAACGTATACTGTACACACAAAACAAAGTGTCCGGACTAACGTATACTGTACTCACAAACCAAAGTGTCCGGTCTAACGTATACTGTACTCACAAATCAAAGTGTCCGGAATAACGTATACTGTACTCACAAACCAAAGTGTTCCGACTAACGTATACTGTACTCACAAATCAAAGTGTCCGGACTAACGTTTACTGTACTCACAAACCAAAGTGTCCGGACTAACGTATACTGAACTCACAAACCAAAGTGTCCAGAATAACGTATACTGTATACTCAAAACAAATCGTCCGGACTAACGGAGTTATACTGTACTCACAAACCAAAGTGTTCGGACTATCGGGGTTGCACTGAACACACAAATCAATGTGTCCGGACTGACGGAGATATACTGTACACTCAAATAAAAGTGTCCGGAATACCTGGGTACTACTTTACACACAAACAAAAATGTTCACACTGACGAGGTTCTCCGGTTTATCGAATCAAATGTCCGGTTGAACAAGGTTCAATTTTGTACAAAATAAGAGTCCAGACTACCGAAGTTCCACTGTACACAAAAAAGTGTACTGTTTAATGAGATTCCTTTGTACATACCCACTAAAGTCAGGACAAACGAAGTTTTACTGTACATACAAACAAAAACGTCCGGACTGACAAGCTTCAACTGTATACACAAACCAAAGTTTCTATTGAGGGGGTTCTACATAAAAACAAACCAAGAAGTCCGTGCTTTCGGACATGCGCGGTCTACTATATACTGAATCCAACGTTTCCGGACTGAAAAGGTTCCTTAGAGCCTCATTTCGGTATTAACACTGCCATAGCATTTGGACAAGAACTAGGGTTCACTAAATACAAAATATTCAGTTTTGGAAAGTAACGAGACTTTACGCGATTTCAGTGTCGGCTTTAACTTGATGGATGCCATAAGGCCAAACACACAAGTGTATCGTTTATTTCGTATCTACGTTTTATTGGTCCGATTGTAACTGATGCTCATTATTCTGGATTCCAGGTGTTTTATTGCCATATGTAACATACTTAAGGAATATAGACAACATTTTTCGCGTTCTGTACAACAGATAAGTTAAAAAATATATCTGTTGTAATTTAACCGTACCGTAAAGCATTGAAATTATTTATTTTATTTGTAATTTTGCATTCTGTATTTTCTGATTGTTTTTGTTTTCTCGATAACATGTGTTACAGTCAAAATATAATGGTATATTTACATTTCCGAGGTCTTGTTCATGGCCCTATTCCCCACTCATAGATAAGAAATTAAGTCAAGTCAATCATATTTACATTTCCACTGCAAGTTTCTCTATAATCATTTCCATAAAGAATAAACATAATTGCTTTCATAGGGCTATAAATACAGTTTGATCAACGTCATTTTGAAGCTACTCCTCTCGCCTCGAATAACGTGAGGCAACCGTTAGAAGCAAACATTTTGGTGATGTTAGGCTGTTTCAGCAATCTCGCTAGCACTGACGACAGAGAAACTTCAATATAAAAAATTAAAAGGGAATATCATTATTTAGATCAATGATAACTAAGAATTCAGAATGTAAATATAAGGATTGAACGGTAATATTTCAGTGTTCACTGGAAAATGCCGTTCAATTCTTATATCCAACCGTGAATTTGTACAATTCCGAATTCAACAGTATTTAGGTGAGTTATGTGTGAAATTATATAACTAGTTCGGTTTTTATGAAACTATGACGAGACCGCAGGTAAAATGCTGTATTGAGTTATGTTAATAGTAATTGACATTTCAAGGACACTTTCTGTTTTACGCAAATCATCTTGAGCTCTGGAAGCTACATTCCATTTCCTGATGACGTCACGGCATTGTGTTGACTATGTCCTCACAGTAAAACCCAGCTAGTGGTATAAGGGGATACACTGTTTTCTGCCAATACTTAGGAATTGACCTGTTGTATCCTACTGCATGCCCGTATTAACTGCGTTTTACTTTAATGCCATCTTTCTGAGGACATAGTTATGGACAAAATGTCTCTGATATGTCAAATCATTAACCATTATTGGAATTACTGACCTTACCAAAATGACAAAAGTCCATAATTGATAACCATCCCTAAAATGTGAAGGAGACTACTAGAATCCTCCCCTACCTTGAGAGTGTGATAGAGAAATCTCCAACCCGAAGGGTGATGTTTTTTAGTTGTCTAACCTGAGGCTCTTCCGAGGGTTAGACAACCAAATAAATCACCTAAAGAGTTTTTCTCTGATATACCCTCAAGTTAGGGGATGATTATTTTTCGCCTATTCTATTATTTCAGTCACAACCCCATCGGAAAGTTGTCTGTTTGTAAACAAAAAACATGTAGGGTATGCATATCGTCATTCACTTTTGATGACGTCACAATTACCGGTGACACATCTTAATGACGTCACAATTGAACATGTGCTAATCGGCACGAGGCTATCTCTCCCTAGGGGGTGACAAGCTGATTTGTTCCGGCTAAAACGGGAGACACACCTGTGAAGGGTGGGAGAAAATGCAATCTCAACCTAATGATAAGGTTTTTTGAGGTTAAGCAAGAGGAATTGCCGAGTCTAAGCTTCAAAAATCTTATCTTGATGGTTGATATTTCTCTTTCTATATCCCTTAGGATTGATAGCTTAGTTTTCTCCCACACTTTCTTACCGTAAACAAATATTCCAAGTTATGATAATGAGCTCAATGCATGTCGCCACCATATCGGTGACGCATTGAATGCGTGACCCCAAAATTGATGACGCGACCCTGGTTACGCTGCATAAAGTTATGACGTGCCGGTGACTATGTCAGAATAACAGCGCGTGCGAGATGTATTCCCCTAAGTAGGTTAAGACAGTTAATCTATTTCTCAACAAAAACGGGAACACACATGTGAAACATGGGGAAATAATTGAAAAATGATACAAAGACATACTGACAATTTCTCGCTTTAAAAAGAGACTAGATATCAGGATGAGTATTGGCTTCATCTTCCTACTCTTTATGTCTTTGTTTCTCTCTTTCTCTCCCTCTCTCACCTTCTCTCTTTGTTCACCTAGTTACCCTAAACACAACTCAAACATTGAGATTTTGTTGTACTTTTTAAGGGAATCTGATTGACAATTTCTAATTAATTGACCGCGAAGTTCAAATTAATTAGGCAATCGATCAATTGTTCTTTGATTGTGATAAGTTTTATCACCTGTGAGTTTAAAAAATAATTCAATTAATTGTGGAAACTTTAAATTGTCACATTAGACGATATCCCCGACTCTTTCATATCAGACACTGTTTCAGCTACACACTCTTTTTACTGGCTAAGGATTCCTGCCCAATTGTTAGTCTCGTTCAACCAGACGCTTGATCACTTGTAATTCTCTGTTCGGGTAGCTTGCGCAGACAACAAGAGTCTGTTTGAACGAGACTAGCTAAATTGTAAGCAAAACACAGGAGAGTTCCACTGTTTATTTTCGCATATAAATTAACATACTGTTAATTTCGTGTTTGATTTATATGTAGCACAGTTTGGTCAGGACACTTCTGTTGACCAGGTAGGTAGCTCAGTCGGTGAGAGCGATAGCACGACAATCTTAAGTTCCGGGTTCGAATCCCACTCTAGTCCCGCTGAATGTTTACACACCGTTGTTGATTACACACTGTTTATTTTATCTTTGTTTTGTTTCACATACGTGCCGCAAGGTATGCCTTTCTTTTCAGTAATGATTGATTAAAGCTATAGTTACGCAGAAAATTGTTTCTCAAGCATAACTGCACGCGGCGAACCTACGCCCGCGTCACATAACAGGAGTACACACTATTCTGTGTACATGTATGTAGGTAATTTAATAAATACATTTATCCTAAAATGGCGACCTTCCGGTTTATTTTGTAAGGTTTTATTGATGTACTTCAGTCATAAATCACCCAATATAATAAATGTATCCTAATTTATCGACCGTCAGGTCGGTTTGTATATTTATGCGAAGTTCTACCTAATGAATAAAAAACTCCATTTATCAAATAAAACAACATATAACAGTATACCGACCTTCGGATTTTTATTATGTTGTATTTTTTAACAAGCATTGATGACCTGTCGAGGACTTAATGTTCGCTGTTTACAAGGATAACCTCACATCATACACAGCGAGACGAGCGCAATCGATGGCCGCTCGGTGTAACGCCAATCTCGCGGGGTGCGTTCGATGCAGTGTTACCACCGTGCTCCCTCTTTACCTCATTAAGCGAGTATGAAACTTGCGGCGTTTGGACCAATCCACCTAGCACCCTCCGAAACGAGTCAGTCGAACGCGACTTCACTGTTTACGAGGGACTACTTTTTATGAGTGAGCAAGAATTCGTGTTTTGATGCCGGAGGGACTAATTTAATCCACTAGTGAGAACATTTCTCGGTTGGCAGGGTTAATTGTAGGAACGCTTACAGATTTTTGTGTGATTTTTTTTTTAAAGAGAGGAAAAAATTCGTGAGATGAATTTTCATCAATTCAACAAATGACTTGTTGTGTACGAGTTTTTGGATAGTTTTCATAGTGATTTTGGTTCTCGCCGTTCGAGATTCGGAACCCGGTATATCAAGGAACGTTCGAGGAAACCTGAAGGTAATCACATATAAATTTGTTTATTTCTTTTCAGAATAACAATTAACCATTTAAGAATGCATTTTGACTTAGAAATCCGTTACAATATATTGACAATTTCGTAATGTAATTTTGCATAGTCATATGAAAATTGAAAAACAAAGTTGTCATATCTTTGAGCATAATATTTCCCTTCTTTATTTTCTGGACATCTACACTGTATATCCTACATCTGTATACTACATTAGTGTCTCATCCAAGTTGTTGTTCTATGTTGCATTAATTTAAGAGAAAAAATCCCAATAAAACGATAGAAGGGTCGACGGTCAAGGCAAACCAATTTATTTTAAACAAACTTGCCAGCACGAACTTTTTATTTTTACCGGTGAATGAAATAAAAAGAGGCAAAAAAACATAGACCGTTTGTGAGAATATTTTGTTTTGTTTTGCTTAGATTGCACTTTCCCCCCTTTTTTCCGGTCACGTGTTCGAAAGCGTCGCTATCAAAGACAATTTAATGTATATTTCATGATGTGAAATATATAACGTCCTGATTACGGAAGTGAAAGACTTATCGCTGACCCCGCATGCAAATTGTTCCGAACGGGATTAAAATATGGTAAATTTTGAAAAACAGGAAAGCATTCAAATTATGCTTACAGTAGATTGATAAGGGTGAGGCAATACACGGCCCAATGTCTTACAAGGACATACAAGGTCATACAAGGTCATACAATGTCATATAAAGGTCATACGAGGGTCAAGTACAGTGTGAAACAAAGAGAGTAGAAAGAACAATTAGAAATGCTACAACTTGTCGGACAGTTTTGGTTTGGTTTGTGCAAGGTTTCCGGAGGAGTGGGCACAAAGGGGAGACAGTCTCTGATTCTACAGGTTCTCCGTGTTAGTTGCATCATACGATCATGTAGTGTGAATTAGCAGGTTAGTTTCCATCTAAAACTGTAACCAATAAGCCTGGGTATAGTATAGTCTTTAAATTTGAATATGTGTTTGCATTGAAGAAAAAATGAAAAAGGGAAAAATGTACTTTGGAATAGGCGGACAGTGAATAGACAAGGTGCATTACAAACAGGTTTTGCTGTATTTAAGCATTATATTGTGGTTTTACTGTATAGTGATAGTGGCATTATATCGTGATTTTACTGAATGTAAACGAGGGACATTATATCGAGGTTTTACTGTATATAAACGAGGGACATTATATCGAGGTTTTACTGTATATAATCGATGGATATTATATCGAGGTTTTCCTGTATATAAACGAGGGACATTATATCGAGGTTTTACTGTATATAAACGTGGGACATTATATCGAGGTTTTACTGTATATAAACGATGGATATTATATCGAGGTTTTCCTGTATATAAACGAGGGATATTATATCGAGGTTTTACTGTATAAACGAGTGGCATTATATCGAGATTTTACTGTATATCAACGAGGGACATTATATCGAGGTTTTACTGAATAAAGAGAAGGACGTTGCATCAAGGTTTTACTTTATGTATACGAGAGTCATTATATCGAAGTTTTACCTATAAACATCAGGGGCATTAATAATGTGTTTGTGAGGATAAGAAGTTTGCAATAGACAGACCTGACTTTGTTGCTTTGTAATTAAAACTTATAAATGATTATTGGAAATTGATGATTAATAATTCATATGGGTCTTAAATATGTATATATACCCTTGGCGATTCTGTGTCGGATTCAACATCTTGCTTTCAGATTAATGTAGACATATATAAATCATTATGCAAACCGAGTCCAAATGGATCGTCCTCGTTGAACCCTGTGGAGTCAATTTCTCTAGTTATGAGTTCGATTTCGTCAATGATCGCACCGTAAAACACTTACCTCATTAATAAATAACATGTAGGAGTACCTATGGCATGTGTGTCGTGTACGTTGGAAATCTTAATGGTTTCTGCTCCGTGAAGCATGACATTTGTCTACTGAATATAGGAAGGTCCCTCGTGCACTGCGCATACCATCATAAAATAATTATGACCCAGATTTCCTCCAACTTGCGATAATTTCTATTTCATCAACCGTACGCCTAGCGTGGGTGCGTATACTAATGCAAGAACTGCTTATGAGCTCGGGGCGTTCATAAACGATTAAGGATGTTTCCGTAAAGATAAGCAACCCAGAACAGTTTAGACACTTCGATTATCCGTATTCAGGTAATCCACAATTTTGTTTTTCGGACGTATTTATGCATGAAGCGGAATGATACAAATGAAAGGAACTATCTTACTCAGGGATGTCATTCTCTCACATGTTTGTTTTCACGTCGCTCCATTCGCCTCTCTTTAAACAGCCTGCGGACTATATATAATTTGACCTCGAGGTCACAGTTATTTATATTGTAACAAGATGGCGGCGCCCTATGCGGATCGTTAATGGTCGCAGAAATGGGTTTTTTTCCGATACGAACAACATATAAATATGTTAGATAATCTGAATGAATAGTAAATATACCCATTGGGAAACTTGTTAAAGAAGAATACTCCACTTTAAAGTTTAGTAAAACCTCGATATAATGCCACTCGTTTCATTTGACACCTCGTTTACTGCCACCATATTCCGATGTCCTCTTTTCTCGTTTTATAAAGAATTCCTCAATCAATGGCCCTCAGTTTATCGCCAAACCGCTTTATAACGCCAAATTTTTCCGGACAAATGGTGGCAGGGGCCGCGGTGGCCCAGTGGTTAAGGCGACCGACATTCTGCTACCACTAGCCCTCCACTGCTGGGTCGCGGGTTTTAGGCCTAGGTGGGGCAGTCGCCAGGTACTGGCCGTTGGTCGATGGTTTTTCTCCGGGAACTCCGGCTTTCCTTCACCAGCAAAACCCGGCACGTCCTTAAATGACCATAGCTGTTCAAGGGCGTAAAAAACACACAAAATAAAAATGGTGGCAGTGTGACGAGGTTTTACTTGAGATAGGAGTTGGTGACCGGTAAAAAACTGGTAAAATTATTATTTCATTTCAACTGAAAGTGATAACATCTCTACAATAGCCCATCTGTCTACATTTACCTAATTAATTATCCTTTATGGACATCGTCAAGAAATCGAAAGAAATGTCCGAACAATATAGTTAAATTTTCATGAAAATTTTGTTCTTACGTTAACGCAATGTCCAACAAATATGGTTTTGAACCAACATACACATGTACAGTATTTTGAAATAACTTTGTTAGATCTTGTTTTATTTTTGATTTTTTTTGTATTTCTTATGTTTGTTTGGGTAATCATTTTTTTTTTGAGACGGGAACATGCAGGTTTTGTTTGAAATCATAATGGCTAGAAATTATTTTTAAACCATAAATTTATGATAGTGTAAAATTTAGATAGAATAAATAGGACAACGTTACAGAGACAAAATGTATAGATAGGAAATGTCGGGATATTTGATGGAAAAACGATTATTATGAGAAGGGCACAGCGCAGCCTTTACTGACGTCAACGCTGCTATAAAAATCATTCTACGCATGCGTGACATACTTTCCCATCGGTAGACGTCACGTGATTAATTCCGATGACGTCATTCCTATCGAAAAAGCATATCAATGACTCCGTAGGGTACACAAAATGTGATATCATCGAATTGTCGGCCACGAAGAGGATTCATGTGGAACACATTTTAGATTTTACGGGGAAAAACGTATAAACATGATTTAAAAAAAATCTATAAATTATTGGCCTCCACAGGCACGGCGTTATTGGTAGTGCGTCGGAATACTCACTGAAAGGCTCTGTTTGGAACTGTGCGGACAGAAAATCGCCACTTTGATTTTAAATGGGAAATTATCTTTTTTAAACAAAGACAATTACTTCAATTCCAGTCCACCTAACTGTACATATTGGTACCGGCAAACAGTTCCTGGGAACGACTGGTGTCTTGCCAAGGACACTTTGATAAGATCCTACAGCGAGATAGTTCGGACACCTAACCATGGAAGCACGTCCAAACGAGGGCGCGCTCCATCGCAAATATTTATTTCGCGTTAATTCGCGAAGACTAACCTTCAAGAATTTTGAAATTGCGTATAATAGTCTTTATTCCTTTCGCGAATTCAGATTACCGCATATGAGTCATTTGTAGGACAACCGCGAAATCAAGTATTCGCAACTTTCTTTTCCTTGTGCCCCTGTTTGGCAATACTTCACTTTTGGCTTTAATGTTGAACGTTTGCCCAGGTGGGGAAGGCAATGGGGTAGCACTATAAAGTCGGCATCAGATCCGCGCTAACACAATGAGGCATATACACCTACATACCCTGTCTCCGGCATACACTACACACATGGAGACACGTCCTTAAATGACCTTAGCGGTTGATAGGTCGTTACTCCCTTCAAATCCAACCAACCAATATACATATCTATAGAATACACAACTCATTTTTCAAACGTTAACATTCTAACCTTTCATTTTAATGACACGCTCTCAAATTCCCTCAAATAAAGAAAAAATATGAGCAACTAAAATCTTCCCAACATTTTTATCATTTTTCAAACGTCATCATTTACCCTCCTTTATCAATGACATACTCTCATATTTCCGATATTTTATCAACCTCGATGCTTTACTCAATTAGGGTCCTTACCTCGGATCATACTGGACCTTAAGTTAAGCCGCTGTCTCGCCCATCATCAGAACTAGGCAATGTACTTTTTCCGTGCGAGAGAATTTAATTAAATGGCCTCGTTGATGAAGATGGAATTCCCCGAGAGGCGGTTGATACTGCGCGTAACATGTTGACTCAAACGTTTATACGTTCACGGGGGATTAGAATAACACGGGTTCAGACTGATTTATCCGTACATACAAACATAACCTTGGTACAACATGAGCTTGATTTTGTTACGAGCGGAGCATAGTATAGTGCGACCATAGTGACTATAGCTACACGCATACTGTGAGAGTACTAATTTTGGCGGGCACAAATTTTAACGCATTATCGATCAAATTTTAACAGATTAGAATATTGA